TGGGCTATTTTTGAGCGACCACTTGTAAATCTGGCTATTTTTGAATTTCTCCCGCCAAACCCCCCTTCACCACAGGAGGTGAAAGCCTGGGTGGATGGTTTTAATTAAAAAAAATCTTAATTTTGGGATGATTTTTTAGAGTTTTGAGGTGATTTAAATTGAAAATTCAAAGTAGAATATGAACATGAAAAAAGATTATATGTGTATCGCACTATGTATCATTTGTGTATCACATATGTATCATATTTGTATCAAATGTATATCACATGTATATCCATGTATACATGTGTGTGATATACATGTGTGACACATGTTTAATACATGTGTCGCGGAAGAATTTTTTGAACTTGATTTTTACTACGAATTTTGATACCAAATTAGTCCAAATTACCTCAAATCTTCCTCAAATTTTGTATATTGACTCATCTATATGTTTTCAATGAATTTCAACTATACTCATTGGAAAAGGTCCCATTTTGCTTAGATATTTGGAATAATGTATATATTTTTTTTTGGAATTTCATCATCTTGTTTGCTACTTCATCTATGAAATTTCTTTCCATCTTGCATCTAATGTTGCTTATCACTCTTAAAATGTTTCCAATCTTTGTATGTGCTTGGCTAGTCTATGATTAATGGCTAGAGGTTGGTAAGCTAAGACTTATTTGTGACATTTCCGTAAGATTTGCACCTTTTTTTTAATCTGTCGTTCAATATCCGTATTAGAATTCGACTAAATTCAGATCCATGTTGTGAAATATTACCTTGGGAGTAAATCGCTCTCTAACGAAGACAATTTCATACTTTAAGCTCAAAATCGAAAGCATTGATTAAGGATGAAAGTGTACTACACTCCACAGTAATTTTTATTGGTGAATGATATTCAACGTACTAGACCTAAAGTCGTTGCATTTGAAGGGGAGCCTTGGTATAACTGGTAAAGTTGTTGCCATGTGACCAGAAGGTCACGGGTTCGAGCCGTGGAAACATCCTCTTGCAGAAATGCAGGGTAAGGTTGTACAATAGATCCTTGTGATCCGACCCTTTGCCGGACCCCGCGCATAGCGAGAGCTTAGTGCACCGACTGCCCTTTTTCCTAGAGCTAAAGTCGTAGTTTGCACAATTAATGACAGCACATTTTCTTCTCTTGAGTACAAGTTATTAAATGGACTTTATTTGCACGTTCTATTATATATAACATCATAATTTTTTTAATATTAGTGATGTATACATAGACCTAACACTCACCTACATGTAAGTAGCACCTTCTTTTCTTTCTTTTTCTTCCCCCCCCCCCTTTCTGGCAGGCTTAATTTTTTGAAAAGCCCTGAAAATATAGTCACCCCGATTAACATGTACTCACCTTGTTAAAAAATTCTAACTAGTTGCTGTAAAAAAAAAAATGATAGTGGATTTACGTGATGTTTGTGAGCAAGTTTTAAGGTAGTTCGTGGAGTTTGTAAAACTAATATGTCCAGATTGAGGTTCGAACCTCCATAAGCCAAATTACATGCTTAACCGATATATGTATATATTCTCAGTAAAAAAATTCAAAGAAGCGGTGTCGAATGACATGTTTAAACGCTGATTTTGCATATTGATTCATGAAATTCTATCAAGATCAAATTGAACCAATAATACTTAGAATTAAAAATCGAATCCAAAGATTAAACGGTAAAACTTCCTTAAAATAATTATTAAAAAAAACTTCATTATCTTTCGTGTTAATGAAGTTTCGTTTAATCTAAAGTTTAGATTAATCTAGAGCAATTTTTAATTATATTTCAAATTAAAGAGCAGCTCGTACACGAAATATTTCGTGTTCATGCTGAGTTCGGGAAAAAACCGTACTGAAAAAGTGCGTGATATAAACAGCCTGTTTTAATTTTCAGATAATTGATTCAAAACGAATATCAAAAATTGAATGAGAAACAAATAAAAAAAAAAAGAGTGGTGTAAGTTTAGCATCACATATTGGATATAGATAGAATGGCAACAGATCAAAGAGAAGAGATACATCTTGGCAAATGAAAATGTGTCATTTGGAATTACGTAATTATATGAAAATGAAGTTTTTGGCTATGTTCTTAAAGGTCACAGAATAAGTAATGGACTTTATGGTTTGATTGTTACTCGTTGGTTTGGGACCAAATAGGAAAAGATAATAGTTTGGGACCAATTAGGAAAAGATAATAGTTTGGGACCAATTAGGAAAAGAATATATGGTGGTGCCTGTGTCCTCTACAGCTGTAATTAATCCTGCCAAATCTTATCTTTGACAATGCAATTCCTTTTGAGATTCTCTTTTGCTTGGACACTTTATAGAATGTAAAAATTATCTATATTATATAAAATTTGTTTTTTTTTTTGGTAAACTAAGTAACTTGCAACCGCTACCCTTCAGGTCGTTAAGGGTAAATTCCACTTCAGTACAATAATTTGTAAATCACGCCGGAGAGGTATATCGCACTAGACATGCCTTGTGCGACAAGCTCGACCGAGAAAATATGCAAAGGGTACGAACATGCGATCTCCCATATGGGAGATCTCCTGCCCAACAAACTCGGCCAAAATATATTGATGGTACAAATACTCGAACGTTGTCAGTGTATATTGTTAGTAGACTGTATTTGTAAAATAATTCTGGAAATATAAATGAGTATAAACAGAAATGAACATAAACAGAAATGACATAAAACCAATTCGAGCCCACTGAATTCACAGTGTTTCCTTAAGGAATTTAATCCCCTCCTAGTACCCAAGGTTATGGATTATTTCCTCCCAGGATAGAACGAATTACACACTGGTGTAGTGGTACTTCAAACCCCAGTGTTTCAGCGAACACAAAGTTCGGTAGCAAATCACACTTACTTTTTGCTTTGTTTGATGCTAAAAGTATGCAGAAGAAGGAGAAGAAACTCAGAAATCCTAGTGAAATTCTGAGCAGAATAGTGTTGTATTTATAGCCAAAGTTAGGCTGAAATCTGAAGAGGTGCAACTCTTCAGAATGGCTGTTTATGCAAAACGCCCACAGCATAAATGCCATTACATAAATGACCATTTACTCAATAATAAAGAGGAAAAATAAAGAGGAAAAATTGAAGAGGGTAGTTACTTTTCTGTTACCAAAACAGAAAAACGGATTGGATTTAATATTAATATTTAATATTAATATTTTGTTATTAAAACAAATATTTAATAACATTTCTGTTAATATTTTACTATTAACAAATAAATTTTGTCCAAAAAGTTAATCAATCAATCATTTGACCAAATCCGAAGCCGAAGCCGAAGCCGAAGCCGAGCCGAGCGAGCGACGACGACGACGGCGCGAGGCTTGCCTTCTTCTCAACTCTTTAAGAGCTAGAAGAAGAGCAATTGCTTATATACCCATAAAAAACCTCTTCCTCTTCCAATATGGGACAATGCCCATTTGCCAAGGGGGGAAACTTAAAATTTCACTCAAAAATTTTATTTCCCTCCATTTCCCATTCACCCTCTTTTAAGTATTTAATATATTAATTAAACACATCCAAAACCCAACATATATAAAGTTAAATCTATAATACTCTCTCCGTTCACTTTTACTTGCATGTATACTAAAATTAGATTTTTATTTTTACTTGACACTTTACGCATATCAAGAGAAAACAAAAAAAAAAATTATTATACCCACACTATTTATTACTCATTTCAAATTATTTTCTCAAATCCAATAAAATATGCATCAATTAATATGGGTATCATGATAAATTATGCACTTCATTTATTATTTCTTAATGGGCTTAAAAGTCAAAATTTGGCAAGTAAAAGTGAACGGCCGAGTAGATACTAATTGATAGACTTATACAATGTTATCCTCCATCAATCATGCATGTTATTTTGGAGTGTGATTTTAGATTGGTGGTTGATATGTTGAACAATTTTTATGTTCCTCCATGAAACCTTCATCAGAGAGGCTCATCAATACATTCATCAACATAATATTATCATTAGACATTGTTATAGGGAAGCGAATAATGTGACAAATGTTTTAGCTAAATGGAGTCATGATATTTAGGAAGCTGTAATCTTGAATCAAATGGACCTTCCCAAGCAAGCTATTGGCCACTACAGACTCGACAGGATGCAGGTACCTAATTTAAGATACAAAGTTGTGAAAAATCTTTTTGTACAGGATTCTTAGTACCTGGTGCCCTTATTTTGTAATTTCCTATATGTTCTGGTCTTTTTTCATTTTAAAAGCTTAGTCTTGGAGGAATAGATCCTTTTGCTGTCAACACATACTATTGATCTATGGTTCTCCATCGGTTCTGTTTTATGTACTTGTAAGATCGTATTTCTAGGTGGCACTTATTAATGGGAGGTTTGGTTTTATACCCCCCTCCTTTTGTACTTATTTTCATATATTAATAAATAAGGTAGGGGTCAATATCAAATCCCTATTACCACAGGAGGTAAAAGCCTGGGCCGATGAATTATTTAATTATATATATCTATATGTATATGGAATCATCTTTACTATGACGATTAACTGCATACCTTTTAAAGTAGGATAATATTCGTTTATTATATTTTTCGTATGGGGTAGGTCCGCCAAAGAAAGTTTCCTACCTAAATTTTCTCCATACTAACACTCGAACCTGAGACACTCTGGTTAAGGGGTGGAGCGATCTCAAATCCTACCACAGGCTTCTATGGTCAAACATGTATGTTCAAGGTAAGCTGTTCTGCAAGTAAATGTATATATTAGGGTCACAATTACAACATCTGTTTGCAGATATCTCATGCGCATGTTGTAGGTAATGTTTCCAAAATTAGTTATACGAAGATGTTTAAGATTATTTTTATCGGAGGTGGATCCAGAATTTTAAATATTTAAGTCGATGTGATCTTTCCATACCTTTCAATTCTTCTCCAGTATTGCTACTTCAAAGGACTCATTTTCATATTAGTGTGTATATATATATTTAAAAGACAAAATCCTTCCATGCATCTTATCATTGTTTTTTAATTAAAGTTACCCAGACTATTGTCTGGGTAGTGTATTACCAAAAAAGTGCATTAAGGGGGCTATGTCCTGACCTAAAAAAGATACAACAGTGGTGATTCCATCACATAGAAATCAGAAGGAGGTATAACGCTATGTCCTCCTTTCTGAGCAAAATTAATGGTACAGACTTCAACTAACAAAAAAATTGGACTTATCATACCTTGTCCTTATACTAGGCATTTGCCACTTATCTAGTAAGAAAGGTCCTTTAGCATTTGCAGGCAGTTATTGATATGTTTGACATATTAGGCTCTGATAAGTAGTGGCAACAAGTTTAGCCAAAGAATCTAGTACTTGGTTACCCTCTCTAAAGCAATGTTGCATAGTCACATTGGCAAGTTGTATAATATTAATGATCCCTGTAATCACCATCTTTGATCTTCAAGTTATTAGAATCTCTATTTGAAAGCATGTTGTGATGACCATAGAGTCCAGTTCGAGAGCGAAATTAGTGTATCCTAGTTGATTGCATCATTTCCCTCCAAACTCTGCAGCCATTGCCTCTGACATATTGTTGCTATTATAAGTAATAGGCACTGAGAAGGCCATAATTAAGTCGCCATTACTATCCCTAAAAATACCTCCAATGCCTGTTTTGCCACTATCTTTTATGTAACTGCCATCAGATATGTTGCATAGTTTCCACCTGCGCATTAGTACAACAAGAACATCTAGAAGTGATGTTAGTACCAAAACTTCCAAGCATATCATCAAAGAAAATTTTCTTTTAAAAAGTCTCCAAGTAAGAGAGGAAATTTTAAAAGGAATATAATTTTGCGAAACATTACTTATGAAAATATTCTTCTGCCTTTTCATTCTAATTGATTGCCATGTAGATTTGTTGGAAAAGTGACCATCCTCAGAGATGTTCCACACAGGGAAATCATCCATGTGGCAATTGCCAATATCCAAGTTGGTGATGATATCAATGATATTGAGGGGAAGGAACTGCTCCAGCTTATTGGTGTCCCAAGTTCCATTATGGATGAAATTATTCACATGTACTTTAGCCAATTTCTTAGGGCCTTGAACTATATTAGCTAAAGGACCTTTACCAGTCCAATTGTCCCACCAGAAGCTAGAGTTGCTAGCTGAATCTTCCAGTAGATATGTGGCTCTACTTTGTCCTTGATTTTCATGAGGTTCTTCCATATGTGAGAATCAGATGAGATTGGTAGTTTCTTCACTGGGTGAGATCTTTTGCAGCATTTGGATTTGAGAAAAGTGGCCCAGAAGGATGGTTGAGTTCTAAATCTCCACCACCTTTTGATACTAATAGTTTCAATAACTTCTTTCATTCTCCTGATACCAATATCATCCTCATTTTTGGGTAGACACATATTATGCCATGAACTCTAGTAGTAATTGTTCTTCCCCTCATTTGCAACCAAGGAGAAGTTAGCAAAATGCTTTTTCATAAGTCTGATAGTGCTTTTTGGGAGAGTCATAGCAGAGAGGATCTAGGTAGAAAGTGACCGAAGAACATGCGTGATAAGGGTGATTCTTCCTCCGTTAGACATCATCCTACCCTGCCAACCATTGAGTTTTTTCACAATCTTAGATAGCATGCCATCAAAAAGACTTATAGTTTTACTACCATAACATATAGGCATCCAAGATAATTGAAAGAAAAAATTTTATCCATAAAATCAGAGGCTTGTCTCATTCTGTTAATCCTGGTAGAGAAAATATTTGGCGCAGTAATGAAGAAGCTTTTATCATTGTTGACTTTTTATCCAGATGTTTTCTCATATCTCCTGATCTGTTTCTGGATAAGTTTGATAGAGGCGTTGTTGCCTCTAGAGAAGATAACTATATCATCAGCATATGCGAGATGATTAATGATAGGACCTCTATGATCCATGGTAAAAGGTGTGAAGTTTTCATGGTCAGTAAGACTATTCAAGGATCTTGTAAGGACCTCAACTCCAATTATGAAAAGTGATAGTGATAAAGGATCACCTTGCTTAAGACCTTGTGAGGAGGTAAAGAAACATTTTCTGGTGCCGTTAATAATGATTGAAATACCAAACCTCACCCACCAGATCCCAAATAAGATCTAACCATTCTTCTGAAAACCCAAACTTCCTCAAAACTGACATAAAAAATTCGAAGACATCCAGTCATAGGCTTTAGACATATCCAACTTTATGATCATGTTTCCTCCTCTGTTGCTTTTGTGATATTATTGTCAATTTCTTGATCCAGGAGGATGTTTTCAGTAATCATCCTTCTTTTGACAAATCCACTTTGATTTTCTGAAATAAGTTTTCTAAGCATAAAATTAAGCCTACTTGAGAGAATTTTTTATATGACCTTGCTAGTGAAATTGCTCAGACAAATAGGTCTAAGCTCAGCGAAGTTAGTTAGGGCATCCACTTTGGGAATAAGGACCAGACAAGTGTGAGAAAAAAATTTAGCCATTCTTTTCCCATTGAAACAATCCTGGATGAAGTCCTTGATATCCTCCTTAATAATCTCCCAACATTTATGAAAGAAAGTGTCATTGTAACCATCTGATCCCGTAGCACTAGAGGCACTAATGTTGAAAATAGCTTCTTTAAAATGGCAGTAAGATGAGCATTGTCCTCAGCAGTGATGCATTTAGGAATGTCATAATCATTAAACTGATACTTCAACTTCCGAAAATAATGAAAAACAGCTTTGGACATGTTGTCATCACCTTCAACCCATCTATTTCTGTGATCTTTGATTCTATGAAGTTGAAGCCTCCTTCTCCTGTCTCTGATGATACTATGAAAATAATTGGTATTTGAGTCACCTTATTCAAACCATTTTATTCTAGACTTCTGTCTCAAAAGAGCATCTTGTATGCTTATCCATTTGATATATTCAGCCTGGCCCTTATTTAGTTCCACTCTTAATGTGTCTGTATTGTTGGCCAAGTCCAGTTCCTCTAGATCGTGTACTTTTGCCTCCCATACATGAACCTGATGATATATATATTACCTATATCGAGTCTTCTACTAAGTAGTTTTAGCTTTTGTTGTAGCCTCCACATAGAGTTTTCATTTATCTGAGTGTTCCAAACTTCCTCCACCAGTTGCATAAAAGAATGTTGCTCTGCCCAGAAATCTAAGAATCTAAGATATCTTATCCCATTCTGTCTATTGTTATAACATTTAATCAGAAATGACATGTGGTCTGAACCTGTTCTTGGTAGGTGTCTAACATATTATTTTGAAAAAGTTGGCACCATTGGTCATTAACAAAAATTCTATCCAACCTTTTTTAGATTCTTCTTTTGGGTTTCCAGTTGTTACACCAAGTGAACTTATCCCCAAAGAACCCTAAGTCCATAACTTTACAATGATCCATAAAACTGCTGAAATCCAAGATTTTGTACATTTTGTGAGGTCTACCTCCTCTTTTTTCATCTGGATCCAGAATAATATTGAAGTCTCCTCCGTTGCACCATGGTCCATCAATTTGCACATTGATAATATTTTCCAAACTACACCATAAGTATTTCCTTTCTTCTGCAGTACATTTAGCATATACATAAGTTAAGAAAAGATTATCATTAGTAGTCCCATTTTGCATTTTTATAGTAATCTGTTGGTCATCATTCTTAACCACACTTGTCTAGTTGTTCCCTAACCACATAAATCAAATTTTCTCATTGGTGATGGAGATACAGTGTTGAAATCCTAAGAATTTCTAGCACCTCTCAATTTTTTCATACTAACAAAATGTTCCATGATGGCAATGAACTCAACTTTGTTGATGATACTAAGTTTTTAGGCTTGGCAAGGCTTTTTTGGTGTTCTTATATTCCAGAAGATAGCATATTCCTCCTACCGGAGGAACATAGGGTTTGTCTTTGTTCTTTTTTCCCTTATTCTTGCTTCTGTTCCCACCATTAATAACTGGAGAGAAGCTATCATCTTCACCCTCGTTTCCTAGATTGTTTAGTTTGCACTTGATCTTCATGAATCACTGCAGTGACTCTAATTGGGGACGTGACTACTATCAGTTGTTGAGGCACCTCCAAGTCTTGACCTCTTTTTATGTGTTTTTGCTCTTTTTCAGAATTTAGATCCACTACCAAGTCAATTCCCGGCATAGCCTTGATTTATGATGAGATACTAGTAGATCCATTAGTATATTCCTGCAAATTTGGAATTTCTTGGTTCTGACATCCTGAATGTTGGTCTACATGTACAATCTCATCCGGATTGTAGGAGGTTGTGCTGACAACTTCCTTACTACTTGCTTGAGTATTGTCTTTGATGTCGTGATTTTGATCAATCTTCCTTGAACCATGAGTTCCTTTAGTCTCACTTGTGCTGCTGCTCTCTTGTCCAATAGTTTTATCCTTTTCCTGCATATATATAGCCATCCCTTGACACTTTTCCTCCAGTTGCCTATTGGTAAATAGGTTTAAAGGTCACCTTGGATTTCTTCTTCAGAAGTTTCTTATTTTAGACAGTGTTCTTGTTTCTGGAAGTTCTAGCTTTGATATTTTGAGCCTTGTCCTGCTTGTTCTCTTCCATCCCAGCAGCAGTATTCTGTTATATATAGCCACTTGGACTCTCTTTGTTCATAGCCTTGTCGTGATCTCCATCGCAAGTACTCTGACCTTGGCCCTTATGTCCTGGCCTAATGTTGCTTTCCTATTTCAATGTTTCATTTGTGCCTTTCCCCTCCTTCTCTAGTTGTACATTCTTTACCTTTTCCTCATTCTCTTTTTTTTTTGTCTTGCTCTTTATTCTCTGCCAATTTCTTCCTCTCCAAAACTCTACAATTAATCATATTATTCCCAAGTTTCCTACAAATTTTGGAGTATTTTGGAATGACCTCGTATTCAAACTTTTGGACTAAACCTTTTTGTGGAGCATCTTCATAAACTTGACCCACATATACAATCTTTGGTTGTTTCTTTAGCAAGTCAATTTTGATTCTTACCATAGCCATACTAGGCCTCATTCTCCCCCTTGTTGCCAAATCCATTTCCAGTGGTATACCAATCGAGCTAGCTACTTGTTTAACATAATGCCATATATGCATGTGAAAAGAGAGTCCAGGAAGAAGTACCCATATCGGAGCTACGGGAAGATCTTCCTCTAGTTTAAAATCGGGAGACCACTTCTGCAGCCACATCTGTTGTCCCTCAATCTCAATTACACGTTTATACTAGACCATGTTGAAATCATCTTCATTAGTGAAGTCAAAAAACACACTGTAGTTATCGAATACTCCAATTTTACTGAAGCCTTCTGATCATGCCCAACTCTAGTCCCAAAAAGGATAAGCGGTCGCTGTTAATATAATCCTGTTTAAAAGTCCGAAGTCGAATCCTTCAAAGAACTAAGGTTTTGCTGTAACTGTTAAGTATCACTAAGAATACAAGCTCAAATAATTCCTAATTTATAAATATTAAGATTATGTTTATTAATAATTAACTGGCAAATTAAAATAGTAAATTAACAACTAAAGATACTAAGGTTTTGGGGGACAAGATTAAGGAGGCCTGGAGTTATGATTTCTCCAATTGACGGAATCCTTCCTCTACGTCTCCTGCAATATCGCCTAAGTATTCTCTAATCGTGAGCACTCGACTTATCATAATTCTCTCTCGAGCAACTACAATAATGTACTAGTCATATTGTCTTGAATTACGCTAGCTCGCACTTTTTCACTGCTCACTATGATCATGTCAAAGCTTCGTCATCTCTAATCCCGCTTTTAAACCCGCCGTATTGATCTCTCATATACGTTAGGAGTGACGTTGTTTAACAACCACCAAAATATGTACTCTTTTTCAAGTAATACATAATAAATAGGAAATGTTAATTGAGAGCTCTTCAATTAACTAAAATAAGCACGTAGTTGAATAAATAAAAAAATTCAAAGACTCAATTATATCAAACGTATCAAGTATTCATCCTACAAAAGTTTCCATCAATCCTAGATGACCAGTTTAGCTACTCATGATTGTGTAAATGATCTTAATAATATCCGAAAGCATTAAATTAAAAATTAAAGGAAAGCGTAGAGAAAAACTCTTGTGATTCGTGTTCCAGAGTATTCCATAGCCTCTTGCCTCTCTAATAGTGTCTCCCCACTCTAAAAACTAAGTTTAGGAGGTATTTATAAGGTAGGGTTAAAGTATACATGTCTAAAATTAATGAGGAAATAAAAGTGGCTCGGATAAGCATCGTCGGCGCGGGGCATCGTCAGAGGCACCAACATTACTCCGCGAGGAACCATCAGAGGCGCCAACATTTCCCCGCGAGGTGCTATCAGAGGCGCCAATGACAATGCACTGGACAACATTTCCCCGTATTTTGGTTCCGGCGCCCGGTACAAGTCTTATATATGGTTTAAGCGCTTTCTGTAAAGTTTGGTTGAAATCGGACGTCGTATGGCGTGTTTCGGACTTAAATGGAAATTTGATGTTTTAAGAAAACTTGGAGGAAATTATGAATTTTGAGGTTTAATTCGATATATATGATGTTATTTTGGCGATTTGATCGCGCGGATAAGTCCGTAGGATGTTTCTGAGGTTGTGATTATATTTGGTTTGGAGCCCCGAGGGCTCGGGTGAGTTTTGGATAGGCGTCGGAGTGCATTTTTAACTTAGGAAAAATCTGGTATGAACAGGCCTGTAGGCTTAGCATTTGCGAAGCCTGGTTCGCAAATGCGAACTCGCAAATGCGAAGGCTGGTTCGCAAATGCGAAACCAGCCCAGGCCTGACTATGATCGCAAATGCGAGTATATTCTTCGCAAATGTGAAGTCCCAAGTTTCGCAAATGCGAGACCAAGTTCGCAAATGCGAAGGTCTCCTGTAAGGCCTGGCTTCGCAAATGCGAAGCAGAGGTCGCAATTCCCATAATTTGGTCGAGGTTCGCAATTGCGAACCCCAGTTCGCAAATGCGACATCAGAGACCCAGCAATTTCATACTTAGTCGAATTTTAAGTCATTTTTCACCCCACTTTCAAAATACAACTCCTTAGGCGATTTTTCAAGAACAAGTTTCATCCCAAATCATTTGTAAGTCGATTTTTACTTAACTCTTTCAATCATTAACATCATTTTAACGTGTTTTCAACTTAAAATCAATGATTTTCATGGGAGAAATTGGGGGTTTTGGGTAGAACCTAGGTTTTCTATGAATTGGGGATTTGGACGTCAATTTGAGGTCTGATTTCAAAACAAATTACATATTTGAGTTCGTGGGGGAATGGGTAACCGGGTTTTGGTTCGAACTTCGGGTTTTGACCACGTGGGCCCGGGGGCAATTTTGGAATTTTTGGGGAAAAAACTTGGGAACTTCATTTTTATGCATTCAAATTGATTCATTTAGTGTTTATTTAAGTAATTGAACAATTTATGACTAGATTCGAGCGGATTGGAGGTGGAATCGCGGGGTAAAGCGATAGTTGAGGTTTGAGTGGAATTCAAGGCATCGAGGTAAGTGTTTGGTTTAACCCTAGCTTGAGGAATTAGGAGTTGAGTCATAATTGCTACTTGTTTGTGTTGGGTACGATGTATGGGCATGGTGACGAGTATCCATGCGTCGGAGTCAAGCATGATCGTGAGTCTTAATTTGATAATTGTGTACCCTTGCTTGATCCTATGAACGTTGTGATTAAATATTGGTATTAGTTGTGCCAGGAAAAAGTTGAATAGGATTGGTTATAGCTGACTCTCCCTTGTCGGGATGTTTGACTTATTGTCATAGTCCCTTGCCGGGACAGAGTATTAATTTGATTGTTCCCTTGCCGGGATTGTATTGTGTATTGTGTTGAAAGTAAAGGGAGCGGGTGGTACGCCTACCACAAGTGATATTGAAATGGGAGCGAGTGGTACGCCTACCACAAATGATATATTGAAATGGGAGCGAGTAGTACGCCTACCACGAGTGATACCGAAATGGGAGCGGGTGGTACGCCTACCAAGAGTGATATTGAAATGGGAGCGGGTGGTACGCCTACCATGACATATTGAGAAATGGGATCGGGTTGCACGCCTGCAACAAGATGAGTTGAATATGAAAGTTGTTTTACCTTTCCATTATTGTTAGAAGTTAAACTGTAGGTGTACGTACCATTATTCCTGATATTTTGACTCTATCTGTTACCCTGAAGCATGCCCCCTTCCCCAGCTTTAATTGTTATTTTTCCTGCTATTTTTTTTTCGTTGTACTTGTATATATATATATATATATATATATATATATATATATATATATATATATATATATGCACAGGTTTATCTGGAGTCTGGTCCTAGCCTCGTCACTACCTCGCCGGGGTTAGGCCAGACACTTACCAGCACATGGGGTCGGTTATGCTGATGCTACACTCTGCACTCTATGCAGATACCGAGGCAGCACTAGGACAACAGCAGTAGTTCGGGAGCCAGCCTTCAGTCCACCGAGACACCAAGGTAACCCTGCAGCCGTCCGCAGGCCCGGCGTCTCCTCTATCTTTTATTATGTTCTGTTATCTCTTGTATTCGAGACAGACAGTGTTACTTTCTTTCAAACCATTGTGTGTAGTAATCTTAGTAGTTCGTGAAAGATGTGACACCAGTTTCTGGGTAGAGGCATATGTGGATTTTCTTATCATTTTGGTTCATTTTGCCTAAGTCTTCTGCTTAAATCTCATATTCCGCTGTTATTTAAATGTTTATCACTTATTAATGTATGTTGCGAAAAAGTTTAAAACAAAAGAGTTAAGAATTTATAATTTCGTGGCTTGCATGGCTTCTACGAGTAGGCGCCATCACGACTCCCGAGGGTGGGAAATCCGGGTTGTGACAAGTTGGTATCAGAGCTCTAGGTTACATAGGTCTCACAATTCACGGACAAGCTTAGTAGAGTCTGAGGGATCGGTACGGAGACGTCTGTATTTATCCCTCAGAGGCTGCAGAGTTAGGAAAAATCTCACATTTGTTCTTTCTTGTCGTGCGGTTTGGTTTCTCAACGCTAATTGAATTTCTACTCTGTTCTTTCGCAGATGGCGAGAACACGNTACCGTTTCCGTTGTTCCGTTCCTTACTCGTTTAAGTTTCGTTTAGACGTAAACTAAACGACGTTAACTTTGTTTTACGTTTTTTCCTTTTAGTACCGGTTTTACGGTTTTCGGTTTTTACGGTTTTACGTTTACCCGTTTTTACGTTACCGTACGTTACGGTTTCGGTAGGTAGTTTAGGTTTGTACGTAACCCAACGGTACCTTTTCGGGTTTACGGTTAGGGAAGTTTAGTTTAATTTTAGTACGTATTTTACCGTCGTACTAGTTTGTAGTTTCTACGTTTCTTTACTTAATTTAAGTACTTACCGTCTACTACTTTAATTTACTATTGTTTTAGTTATTAGTTGTCACTGAATGTTAAAGGAGTTATAGTTGTAACGAAAGTAAGTTAATAAATTTAGGCTTGCCTAGCTTCTACGAGTAGGCGCCATCACGACTCCCGAGGGTGGGAAATCCGGGTCGTGACAAGTTGGTATCAGAGCTCTAGGTTACATAGGTCTTACAACTCACGGACAAACTTAGTAGAATCTGAGGGATCGGTTCGGAGACGTCTGTATTTATCCCCCAGAGGCTACAGAGTTAGGAGAACTTCAAATTTGTTCTTTCTTGTCGTGCGGTGCTGTTTCTCGGACACCGATTGAGTTTCTACTCTGTTCTTTCGCAGATGGCGAGCATCCGCGCTTCTTCATCTACCGCTCAGCAGTCCGAGTCTCCAGTAGCAGCCCCAGTGGCGGAGCCTCAGGTTGATTTGGAGAAGGAGGTTCCAGCCCCAGCAGTTCCGGTGGGCCCAACTCAGGTCCCAGAGGGGTTCATTGCCACCCGAGTTCTTCAGGACGCTCTAGTCCGATTGGTAGGCTTCGTGGAGAGTGTCATTCGAGCGGGTTTGCTTCCAGTAGCACCAGCCACTCCTCAGGCTGGAGGAGGGGTTCAGACTCCTGCTACACGTACTCCGGAGCAGGTAGCTTCCCAGGTTCAGGTTCCAGTGGTTCAGCCAGGTATAGTGGCTCAGACCGGGAGTGAGATAACTTTTCGGGAGGCGGCC